AGGAAATGTACTGTATCACCAATAATCACAAAGTCATAGAATCATTTATTGGAAAAACACTTTAAGGTTATCAAGTTCAACCATTAACCCAGTACTGCCAAGTCCACTAGTAAACCACATAAATCACTGTAGGGCTCCACATAGTCAGTAGTGAGAAATACATTTTGAGGATGCAGTTCATCTCATCTCTGCTTTGCAGAAAGCCATCTTTAGTAGAAAATTCAGCCACCTCCTTTTACCAACCCTAGCAGCTGGATCTTCCCNCTACTGTGCACAAGTGTGCAAGGTGACACAGCCGTGTTTTTCAAGGGTTCCCTGTTTGAAAGCCCTAAGGGTCTTGTTCCCACAATTTATTATACTTAAACTGAAGTAAGTCGTGTCAGTAATTTACATTTCTAAGAGCATAGATATCAACAGCCCTTGCAAGCTGGGATAGATAATTTCATTAAAAGTTTCACAATAAAGGTTAATCATCACAGCTACAGCTTGGCAATAGCTTGGAACAAATTTTTGGATATAAGTGTAAGAAAATATTGCTTTAAATGCTTTCCCTGCAGCTTTGAATGACAATGAGATGGAGAGAGACTCTGAAACAGAAGCATCACTTGAACTGCAAGCAGCAGCTGCTAAGGAAACTGGGGCAGAGGGAATGACTCAGTTGGCTGTGGTGCAGTCTCAAATCCACATGGGGCTCTGGAAATGTTCATCCATGCCAGTGATAGCACAGCAACCACAGAGATGATTTTGACAGTCGGAGAAATTTGGAGAGCAGTAATGAAAAATAACCAATGCAATAAACCACTGGGAACTTCAGAGTCAAAGGGCACAAAGGACAACATTTTGAGAATAAAAGGAAGAAAAGAAACCGAGAGGATCTTTGATCTAAAGGCTTCTTCCTGCAGATTTTATCTCTCCAGACACAAAAATACAAGGCTTATGTCTATTCCCTTAAGAACTGAACAGCACGTCAAAGAGGAGAGGAAGCCTTACAAGATAACATTTAATCATCATAAAAATGCATGCATGAATGTGACAAAGAGAAAGAAATGCATATATCTTAAAAGTCAATATGTAACAGAAATCTAACCAAAAAGTAAAAAAAAAAAAAGTGCAATAATGTGTGCAGTGGCTTGGACAGAATAAGATAGATAAATATACACTGCCAGCTGATCTCCTTTCGTAAGAGGACTATCTCATTTTTATTTTTTTCAATCAAATGGTCCCTAATCCTGACAGATGGTATGTCAGTTCTTACTTGTCCTGTTTTGGGGCTTCATGGAAGTATTTTCCATTCTTTTTTCTTTTCAATGGCTTTTTTCAATGTATTTTCTGTGTACATTACAGGTCTTTAGGGACCCATTACAGAAAGCAGTGTTTAGCATAACTCCATCCTTGTATCTCATTTCACGCTTCTACTGGCAATCATGTATTGTGCCCTATGGGGAAAGGGTGATTCTTAAATTGTGTTTAAGACCTTATTCAGGAAATCATACACCCGAACTGAGTTCCACTGTATCTCTATCAGGGGCAGCAAAGATAGAGGCTGAAGCCTTACCTGTCCCCGAACTTGTTTGTTGGCACAACCACCCAAGCCAATGTACATTCCATGTCAGGAACTAATACAGAAGCACAAGAAATGGAGAAGTGTTGTGGGTCCTTCAAACTCCAGCCATCACACTCCTGGGATTAGCCTAGGTGATTGTATTTCTTCACTAGCTATGCATGTGCCCTGACACTGTCTGCTCTGCCATTATCGAAATTCAGGCTTGGTTTTGTCTGCTTTGCCTCACGTTTTTGGCAGCCACACACATGTGCAAGTTTCTCTCAGCTCTGCTTAAATTGAGAGAGGCTTTAGGGTGTGGCTGGAGACCTCGAGTTGGGAGTTACTGAGTGGGGCACATCATGGTCCGTTAACCCCTGGAGGCCCTTCGGTGACCCCCAGCCAAAGCCCTATCTTGTGCGGTGTGTCTCCCATACATCACACTTGCTACTGATCTGTATGTGGGAATATGGTGACTGACATTTAGCTCTGTGGACACACACATGTGGTAAAACTCCCCAGGAAACATAGACCAGATCAAGCTGGGTGAGATGAGCAAGCTCCTCAGTGTGTCCTAGCATCCTGAGAGAATATAGCAGACAGCTATACGACTTTCCTTCAGAGAAGCATCTTACTAAAACCCCACAGAGGATGCAACGTACATCTCATCTGCGTGCTGAATGGAGGGAGCTGTGGGCTCTCCCATTTCCCTGATAGGAAGCAACAGTGTGAGGGCCAGTGCATATCATGGATGCGTGTACATGTATTTATTTATGTATTTGTTATCATTAGTCCAAATTCAACCTTGAAAAAATTCAACTGACCCTACATCTTCTGCATAGCAGTGCATGAATGACCTGTGTGTCTGTGGAGGTTGGTCATTGCTGGAGCAAAGAGGGTTTCCCATCTGCAAGAGGTGGTGTTCTCACCACACCTTTGGTTCTACACAGTCCTTGCTTCCTCTTCAAAAGAGACACGTGGAGACCCAGAGAGAGACAAAATGTTGATTACATTCCCAATGCTATTTAGGTGAGTAATGCTGCAGGCAGGTACTCAGTGGGACTTCCAGAACCATTTCTGCAGAGTTCGTTCCTGTACCTGCCTGGCTCTCATGGTCCCCAAAGGCAAGTGTCAGGGCCCTGGGGCACAGCCTTGACCAGGCCCACCAGGACGCCCACCCAGGCACCCGGAGTCACGTTGCAGCACAGCCCTGAGCACCTGGTCCCCACCTGAACTGCACTCCTCTGCCTCCTGGCTGGACCTGCTGCAAGCCTAGGTTGAAAACACATGAAAAAAACAATAGAGCTGGGGAGACAGAGATGCTTGCAAGCTGTAGGGTGACTCTGCGAGATGCTTTTAGGCAAAGAACACCCCAGGCATCACCTCTCTGCCCTGATGCTTTGCAGTGGGCAGAGCTCTGGTCTTCCATTGCTACTGCTGCCGTACCCTTTATTTCTAGGTAGGCAGCATCTCCTGAGTTGTCCTTGTCCCAGGTCTGCTTCCCTGACTTAGGTGTTGTACACAACCTAATAGAAGCATTTATTTTCAAATCCCTTCCTTTGGGACAGAAATAATGTGGTTTTTACCTCCCATGAACATCATCCATGCACTTACTAAGATTAAAAGGCAACGCTCCTTCACTCTTGTACCAAGACAGCTTTAGGTCTCACTGTCTTAGGGATTTGGAAGTAATATAAAACCTGCTTGGCAAAAGGCAGGCCTTGCTATCTGGTTTGAGTGGGAAGGAGAAAGATTTCACACCGGGGGGTGCCATCTTCCCAGCTGGCCTCTAAATCTAAGCATGCAAATCCCTCATTTGTCTGGCCAGACCACATATTTTAAAAGCTTTGGGGTTTTTCTTTAATTGGTTTATGAGCTTGGCTAACGCATAAGGTACAGTGCAAACCAGCTCTGTGTTACACACCATTCTGGGTTATCTCACCACTCTTTCCACAGCCTGAAATGAAAGAAAATAACAGAGCCGATTATAGGCTTCAGCTACATGCTTTGTAGGTTTACATGCCTGGGAGCAGCTTGTGATCTAACTATATATTTTATAAGTGCTGTTGTTTAGATTTGTGTTTTGCAACAGATATAAAGCAGAAACCATTCTGAGGACCTCTCTGCTTGGAAGATTTTTCTTGCCTATTATTAGCACTCTGCTTTTGCAGCAAGTGTTCATGAGCCAATATGCAGGGTTTTAAAGGACTTCAAAGTGTCATTGGGAACCAAGTGATATGTGTGTTAAAAAGGGTTTAATGGAGCTGCAGTCGCTGTAGCACAGTGTCTTTTTATAGCAAGTTTTTACAGCATTAAGAAAAACATCCTGCAGATTTCAGTAGGATTGGCATATGGATAAGGTACTTCGCACTATGATTTTTGTTTATGTGCTATTAAAAAAAAAGAAAACCAGCATTGCTAGCTATAGGGAGAATGATAAGCAGGAAGAGTTCTGCAAAACTCATGCAACAGCTATTGCCTCTATTTTGGGTTTAATTATTTTCTCCTTTTTTTTGAAAGAAAAGCTTATATTTGAAAGCCAGCAGCTTGACTTAGAGAATGGAGATATGGAATGATTTGTATTCACGTTGAAGATTTTAAAGTCTTTTTTTTTTCCCCAGAGCCACTGGATTATATTATCATTAGCATAAGGCAAATCCTGCTTATCAAAGTTGAGGCAAACTTTCTGGGACTGTCTTTAAAAAGTCATAGGTCAGGCTCCCAAGGAAAGAAGTGGTTTGCAAAAACCATATACTAAGGTGGATCTGATACCTATGTGATCATGTTGATCTGCAGGAATTGGCAGGAATTTTATTAGGTCCTCTAGTTCTCCTTTTATGACATCATTTATAAGTCTCTTTTAACTATTCCTGGGCAGTATGCAGGGATAGCAGGTGAGACAGGTTACTCATTGTCCTTTAGCAACCTGTGTTAACAGCCTGTTAATTTCTGAAAGAGGCAGGCAAGGAGTGGAAAGGAAATACAAGTACCCATGGCCCACTGGGAGGGCAAGAGGCTTGCCCAGGGTTATACAAAAAGACATACAGTGTCTGGAATGTAGCTGTATGGACTTGTTCCAGCTCTGAAGCAACGTTATTTAAAAATGTTTTACTCTCTGCTTTTGCTTCAGGCTGGAGAACAACTGGTTTCTGCCTTATCTGAGGGATTGGAAAAAAAAGAGAGTCAGGGAAACCTTTGGTTGTTGTGACTGCCAAAGTAGGAACAGCTCGGGATTTCTCAAGCCTCGCAGGCAGCTGAGAGCTGCGAGCAAATGTGCTCAAAGCTGATGACAACAGGGGTTCAGCTCCCAGTGCTGCCCTTACACTGGCAGCTGTTTCCCATCCCTGTGGCTCAGTCCCAGCAGAACTAAAGCCCTGGCAAAACCCCAGCGTGGCAGCCCCGTCCCTTCTGCCCCTGCTGCTCTGGCTTGAGCAGCTTCTCATTTTTCACACCCAGTCCTCCCAAACGGAAACCCTGGTCTAAAATCTTACACAAGCAGCCGGAGAGATATTTTTTTCTAGTCTGCGGAGGAGGGCAGAGGAGAAACGGTGCAGGGGGGAAGGGTTTGTGGAGTTGGTTTCCTTTTTTTTCTTTTTGCAACACTAGTTATTCAGGGGAGTGTCTTGCATTATTAATGCTGAGTGGCTCCGGCAACTACTGCGGTTCAAGGTCGTTACTCATCCGCTGCTACTGCAGGAGACACAGGAGCGCTGAGCCAGAGCTGTTCATCCAACTCTCTTGGTCCTCCCAGGCCAGCAGGTTGGGAAGAGCTACACATGGGGCAGCGGGGTCGCGTGGGGGTGTGGAGAGCAGCCCCGGGCCATAGGGTCATCGCAGTCTGGTCATGGGGTGCCTGGGTGTGTGGGATCTGCTGGATTTAGTGGGTGGCGGGGCCTGAGAAGAGCTGAGGGGTGTGCAAAGAGCAGGGGTTGGGAGAGCACCTGCGATGTGGGAGTGTGGGATCCTCCATGCACCTTGTGGGAGGGCAGATGTCTGTATGCCTACCTGGGTATCTGCCCCTGTATCACTTACAGCTACAGAGGCATGCAAGTCTCCTTTCATCTCGAGCTGTAGGAATGCAGGATGCTCTCTGAGCATGTCCACGTGCTCCCTTCCTGCCTGATTTCTTCCGTTTTTCCTTCCTTAGGATGAAGGGCCCTAGGCAAACATTCCTTAATTTATTCTGCATCCTCTGGCTCTTGCTTCTGCTGAAGGCTGCCTCTTCCTCCCCTCTACACCACGAAAATGAACCACCACCCCCTTCACTCCCCATTGGGCTGTACAAAGGACAGACCTGCGTTGGTATGTATCCAGGTTTTGTTTTCCTACTGGACTTGTTCATTCGTTACTCCACTGGTGAGCTGAGAATTGCCGTGCAAGTCATAAATCGCTCCTTTATCTATTTCAACAGCTGTACTGCAAAACTCTTGTAGTCTTTGGTGAAACAGTCACTGAAGATTTTGCAAGGCCATTGTGGGGTCTGGAGTTATTTTATGATTTTGTTTTTCAGTGGCTGCTTCCCAAAGTTCATGGTTTTGCTCTGTGAGCAATGGTAACTGAAAAGCTGGTTTTAATGTCTGCAGGTCTGGTACATGGAAACAGGATGTTGTGAGGTCCTTGTGTTTGTTAGGGTTCACAATGCATTTTGCTTAACTGCAGGAAGGCACAGTTTCCTTCAGACTTGCCCAGAGTCTCCCCATTGTCTTCATTGCCTTGGAAACTCTTCTTAAGAGTGGTTGGTCCATATTTGGGACAGATACCTTTGTGGTCTGGATGATCATCTCTAAAGAGCCAAGTTGGAAAGGCTGTTTCCTCACATTTCCTTTCCTTTTAGTGAGTGCATGCATCTGCATGACCTGTACTAAAGTGAGGCAAGTTTGGTAACACCCCTCTAGTGTGACTTCGGTGACTGTGGTCAAGATCTGTAGCTGGGGGTATCCTCATCCGCCTGATTCCCAAAGGAAGACAGGTAACACCAGAGTCAGTTTAAACTGTGGGTATCTCTGCATCAGAAATGCCCTTGTCATGAGACTCTGTATATCTAGAGAGATGTGGGATCTTATATTTTTTTATGTGTGCTAATGTGAAATGTTGGGTATGTCCTATGCATTACAATCAAATGCTTTATTTTGTCTTCAGTTGGACTCATTGATTTTAGAGGTCTTTTCCAGCCTAAATAATTCCATGATTCTTTTAGTTTCCCCGGGCATGTTTTGTGCTGTAAACATAAACCCTGTCACAACCCTCCATCCTTCAGAAGGAAATAATTCTTTTCACTATGGCTCAAGGAATATAATTAGAAATAATATTCCTAAGCTTGATAAAATCAGATTTTCACCTCACTTCTGAGCCATCCACAGTGCCCCTGAAAGTTTTGGTGCCAGGGAGGCAGGATGAACCAAAAGTGGAACGAAGTGGAAGTCAGGGTGGTGAGGCTTGTGCAGCCCCTGATGGGGTTCAGCCACCAGGTGGAATATGAGAACAAGTGGTGAAAAGCAGAAATGACCGTCAAGGACTGGCCTTTTTTGCACTGGCAGCCATGCAAGCTGTGACTGAGCAGCTGCCAGAGCGAGGGAGAAGTGGTGTTTAATGGTGAGATCTTTAGGATGCTACCATTTTGATGACACAAGAAAGTCAGTGATCATGCTCATTCGCTACACTAAACGCTTTACAATAATGTTTTTTAGATGTTAGGTGTAAGCATTGTCTGCCCTTTCCATCCTGTTGATCTAGCAAAGTTCTAAATTCCTAAAGTGACTGCACATAACATTGAAGTTGCCTCATGCAGGGTCCTTTTTTCCCTCCTAAAGGGATGAGAGCTGAATCAACCCCATTGCTGGGATCACTGAACATGTCCCTGGCTCTTGTATCCAGCAAGAGGACAGGAAAAACACTGCCTTCCACACCAGTTTCTCTCTCTGAAGTGTCCCTTCAGCTAAAAACATCCTTGTGAGCTCAACTCAGGACCAAAACAGACTGTGACCCACCTCCGTAAACTGCAAGATAAAAACAAAGTGTGGCAAGTGTTAAAAGTGCACGGGCCAGGCCTGGCAGGGAGGGCTGGTGGCTGCTAGCCCAGATGTCTGCCACTGGGCTTTTACTGATTAGCTGCTCTCTCAGCTAAACACTTGAAAACACTTACTGTGTCCCTTCATTATATCAAGCAGGAAAGAGAAAGCACAGAGAAAGTGATGGTTGTGCTTGCCATGGCTTGGAGCAGGAATAAAGTCAGTTCTTGCATCTAATTCAGTGACCAGCCCTCTCAGGAGCAGAAATTAAGCAAAATCAACTTGTGATTTCCTTCCAATAGCTCGACCCCAGCCCCTGGTTTGCCATCTTGGAAGCTAATGGGAGAGAACCATAAGAACTTCCTCTGTGTCTTCTTGGCCTTAAAGATCAAGGCAGAATTTTTCGTAGAATCAGAGAGAAACATGGAATGGTTTGGATTGGAAGGGACCTTAAAGACCACAAAGTTCCAGCCCCCCTGCCATAGACCTATAGACCATGTTGCTCAAAGCAACATCCAGCCTGTCCTTGAACAGTGCCAGGGTTGGGGCATCCTGTTCCAGTGCCCTCTCACTCTCACTGTGAAGAATTTCTTCCTAATATCTAATCTAATTTTTGATGCGAGAAATGCCTGCTGCCAAATGTATGGGAGATTTTATTGAAGAAATGGGGGTTTTCATGCAAGTTAAATGTGTGGTCAGGTATCTAATCTTTCAAAGTTATCTGCCCCTGTTTTCTGAGGGAAATGAGGTAACTTCACATTGAATAGTCATTTCTGATCACTCCTGTGTACCACCTGCATGACCCTGATTGCTGTGTTAGTAGCCAAATCCTGCCAGAAAATGGATGCTCTTCCAGTAACAAAACCACAAAAATATTTCCCATTAATCCTTTCCACTGAAATTATCACACTTCTTGAAGAAATATGTAGAAATTATATGACAGGAGAGCAAAGTGCAGCTCTGGTACCTCCGTTAAATGTGGTACAACTTGGTTACTTCATCCTTCTGTTCTCCTTGCTAGTGGCATTCCCTTGGTAGGCACCACCATCTGTGCCAGTATATTCTGGTCATACTGGCAAAGCAGTTGGATGCTTCAAGGGGCTTCCCTGCCCTTAGCAGATCCTGGGAAATGTATTTTGTGTCAGCACCTGTATGCTGATACAGAATATGGCAGGGGGAGAGGAGGGCATGCCTCCGATGAGGTGCCACAGCAGGCTGAACAAAGACAATTCATAGGGAGAGGTTGGTCAAAACACATCTGCTTTCAGATTGTCACTTGTCTAAGAAAGGTGACTCTTTTGCAGCAAACTCGTATTAGAAAACATTAGACAAAAGTTTTAATCATCCTCAGGAACTGTAAAAAAGGTCATGTCATTTTTTTCTGCATTTTCTTGGAAAATGTGGCTGCTTCATTCAGGGAAAGTCTTTTTGTAATTGACATGGTGTGCAAATAAAGCAACTGTAGTGTTCCCACCTAAAAAAGGGTTTAGTACTGCTGCCTTTTAGAGTTATGGCAAAGAGGGGAAAAGCACCCAGTAATAATCCTCCCAGCCACAGGATCAAATGTAGTATACCTAAGCAGTTCCTAACCATCTAAGATAACTGGTCTATAGCAGTTTCTAACCACAACCAAATAAATGGTCTTCCTTTGGCCTTGTCACGAGAAAAACTTTCCCAACATGTGACATTCTCTTTTCTCCATCAGTGTTTCCTGTCTCCCCAGGCTGGAAAAATGCCACCCTTTTTGTGTGAAATCAGCTCAGGCCCTTCCTCTTGGCCTTTTGCACACTTTGCATGTGATATATTCTTCAGGGTTTTCCCAGATATGGTAGATAAAAGGGCTTTTGTAATTTTTTCTACACAGAATCATAAAATCACAGAATATACCAAGTTGGAAGGGACTGCAAGAGCCCACGAAGCTGTTTTATCTCCTGTAAATGCAGTGAGATTTGCTCTGTGCACTGGTTTGGATGCTGGGCCTGGCTTTCCTTTCTATTTGTTACTAATGGGCAGTATGGCTTAAGAGGTTTATTCAGGACGAGACCTAGAAATCCTTTTGCTGAGTGCAGCCTGACAGTTTCAGTGTGGCATCCTGAGAAAGAGATTCTGTGTATTTTTCTCTCAAAAACTAAGCATGAATGAACACTTCAGATACTGAGGTCTCTGACTTTCCCATCTGTTAAATGAGGAAAAACTGCCCATTTCACAGGGCAAGCAAAGTTTTACTTAATGTTAAGGTACCCAAAGACAGTATAATAACACTGGTAACTGCCGACACTGGTGTTAATGTTTCATCATACCTGAGATCATGTTCTTTATTTTTCTACATTTCTTAAAATTTTTCTTTTAATTTTGAAAGTTTTTATTCCCTACTGCCTAGCACCCTAAATTACAGCAGAGCCCTTTCGGGGTTTTTGCAAATTGTTCTGTTCTATAGCAAAGTTGACTTCATCCAGAGGTGTCTGAAGCAACCTCAGGAAAGGCAGAAGCTGTCCTGGAGGATGCAGAAACTGGGGGAGACACTGAAAGACAGAGGGAACTGCTGTATTTATCTCTCTGCAACATAGTGAAGAAGAAATTTGGGGAATGGTAGATTAGTCAGTTAAGCATCAATTCCTAGAAAAATCATGAAATAGTTAATAAAACATTTTAAAAGCACCTTTCAAAAATAATGTCAGATCAATCTAATTTTCTTTGCCAATGGTATAATGGTGTGTAGACACAGAGGAAGCAGTAGATACTATAACTGGACTCTAGTAAGGCGTTTGGCACTGCCTCAAAACTAGTCTTATGGCTGAGAGAGATGTGGCATTGATTAAGCTTCTACAGGGCAGGACAAAACTGATGGGTAGCCTTGTTTAGAGACTAATTACAAGTGGCTCACTCCCTAAGCAAAAGGATATACAAAATTACGTCTTTCTTGGACTTCTCTTTCCATATTTTCACTAGCCAAGATAATGAAATTTGTGCTATTAAATTAGCAGCTCATATGCAGCTGAAATTGTTTGCAAGTACAATGAAGGGCCAAATTAAATTAAAACAATCTTGACAACTTGGAGTACTTGCACTTGAAAAGGTTACTTCAATATGGGAATGTTGAAGGCACTTCAGTAGAAATAGTCCATGACGTAGCAGATGAGGCCAAACCAGCTGGGTAGCATCCCTAAGGAAGATCATCTGGGCTTGTGGTGGCACAATGTTGGCATGCTGTCATGAAACACACACATGTGGCGAGCACCAAGACGCGAGAACAGAAGATAGCTTGCAAGATGTGAAGTAACTCGTTACCTTTCT